AGGGGAGAAAGATAGAAACATCAATGATGAGAGAGAATCATTGATAGGCTGAGACCTGCACGACCCCTACTGGGGATGGAGTCTGCACCCGGGCATGTGCCCTTGACTTGAATAGAACCTAAGACCCTTCAGTCCACAGGCAGAAGCTCTATCCACTGAGCCAATCCAGCTAGGGCTGGATTTTTCCTTAATGTGGTGAAATACAGGTAACATAAAAGTTACCATCTAACCATTATTTAAATTGACAGTTCAGTGCATTAAGTACATTTACATGCAACTATCATCACCATTTATCTCCAGACTTTCTTATCTTCACAAATTGGAACTTGCTCCCCATTAAACATTCATTCCTCCTCCTCCTCCCCCAGCCCAAGGCACCACCATTCTACTTCCGGTCTCAATGCGTTTGACTCCTCTAGGGACCTCATAAAAGTGGAGTCACACAGTATTTATCTTTTTATGACTGGTTTATTTCACTCAGCATAATGTCCTTAGGGGTCATCCATGTTGTATCATGTATCAAAATTTAATTATATTAAAAAAAATTTAAAGTAGTAAAAAAAAAATTACCATTGTAACCATTTTTAAGTATGCAGGTCAGTAGTGTTAAGTAAATTCGTATTGTTGTGCAACCAACCCCTAAACCTTTTTTTCATGTTCTTGCAAAACTGAAACCCTACACCCACTACACACTAACTCCCCATCCTCCTCCTTCCATGCCTGACAACCACCATTGTATTTTCTGTTTCTATGAATTTAATTACTTCAGATATGTCATATAAGGGAAATAATGCAGTATTTGTCCTTTTGTGACTGGTTTTTTTCACTCAACATAATATCAGCAACTCTCTTCTCTCAAATAATCATTTCTCTATTGCATGTGCACATCAAATGCCATCTCCTTCCATCAGGACCCCATCCCCAACAAATACAAGTATCACATTGGAAATCATTTTGAAGATGTTAAGATTAGTGCAATTAAAAAAGAAGCAATGTCTACATGAGGATGTCAAAAAAGATAGTATCATGAAAGCAACAGCTCTCTAGCTCTGTTAATCAATGAGTTAATTCCATGGACTCTAGATATCTGGAAGGAAAAAGTTTTACTTTTTAAGCCTAGAAATGATAAGTGGGAGACAAGCTGCAGAGGGGTGATGCTTATATTTGGAACGGCCTGACCCTCTAGAGTAGAACTTCCACATCTGGTCATTAAACATATTTTTACTCTCTCTCTCTCTTCTCTAAGATCATTGAGCTGTTGAGGGCAGATGAAGAAATAAAGCTTAACTGAATTAAAATTTACCCAGTAGTCTATTTGCAGATGTGGCCCCATTCTTTGTCTGTTTCCATGTCTTCGGCAATGTGACTGTAAGCTCCTCCCAACCAGAGCTGTAGTCTTCTTCTCCACCTTTGAATCTGGGTTGGACTTAGGATTTTTTTAGTTGTTCTGGTCAAATAAATATGGTGGAAGTGACAGTGCGCTTTACCAGGCCTTGGTGCATTTCCACTGCTCTTGCTCAGAACCCTGGCTGAGCCATGTGAACAAATCCAGGGACCTTCCAGAGAAGAAGAGGACAGGCGGACAGAGCTCATTTATTCCAGCCAAGCCCCCCTAGATCAGTCACCATAGCTGAGCCCCTAATACATTAGAAAGGTCAGCCAAGGTCAGCAGAGACATCCCTGCTGATCCATAGCTGACCCATAGCTGACTACACACTCAGGAGAAGACCAGCAGGGATCAGAACACCTCCTCACTACACAAACCCATTGGAAAATAAAGGAATTGTATTAAATAATTTGCTTTTAAGATGGCTTACTATACAGCAATAGTGAATTGATCCTATAATCAAAGCAAACAGAACTGAGGGAAATTATAGTAATCTGCTACTTCTTACTTTTGGCATTTGGATATTAGAGGACAGCATTCACTATCATTCTGTTATTCAAATGCATTTCAGAAAACTGTATAGAAGTGCCTCCATTGCAATTCCCTTCCAGGTAATCAGGACAGGGTAGAAGGACATGCATGTTTGTGCAGGAAAATTTGTGATGTGTATTCACATGACTGGGCAGAATTTTAACTCCTATGTGATTCATCCTTTGATCATAAAGATAGTATATATTCCTGAGTATAAAGCAGATATATGTATTGTATGATATTGAGATTGTTCACTTACTGTCCCTTCAGTGGGTTTGAAAAAAAGTTTAGAAAAGAATAGATATTTCATTTAAAGCACTAGAATGAGGCACATTTGTAGGGATCACATTGAAATTTTTCAAACAGACACAGGAAAATAACTCAGAAAAAAAATGAACATAAAACACTTCACACTATTCTTCACTCAAATAAATAAGGACCCTTACACATGGACCTCATATTTTATACTTTATTTTTAATTGATGTTTTAAAGAGAAAGGAATGAATAAAGAGAGAGAGAATGGGAGAGAGAGAAGAACACCAAGGCGAAAGAAAAACATTGGTTGATTGCCTCTAGTATGCACCATGCCTGGAGAATGTAACCTGCAACCTAGATATATGCCCTGACAAAGTATTGAGCCCACAGCATTTTTGGTACACGATTAGACATTCCAACCAACAAAGCCACTGGGTAAAGACCATATTGCACAGTTTGTAATTGATGTCTAGAATTTTTGTATAGTAATAAATTATATGGCTGTTTTTGTTTCATTATATTTAAGGTCATCTCTAACTCTAACCATATAAAATCAGTCTATTTATTAAAATATATATTTCCATGTAGATTCTTCTTTGATAGTCGGTTTTTGACGGTGGATATGGTAGGCATGTGGACACACAGCTGAACAAAAGAATGAAGAATATAAAACTAGGAGACCAGCTGTAAAACATACTAGCATGTCGAAGTCTACATTATCAAAAAGAGTAGTAAAGGTTGTGCTATAGAAAATAATGATGAACATATAAGTGAAAACTGTGGTCTCAGATTTTCCTCTACAATAAAATTATGCAAGTGACCTAAGTAGCCAAGTGTAGTTTTTTTCCATAGGGGAAATATAATTCATGACTATATTTTCAGGGAAACAATAGAAAAATTACTAGGAATATGTCATAAGAGAATAAATTATGCTAAAGTAATTCTTTGGAGAGTGGCTACAGTGTTTGGACAAGTTCAAGCCTGGGACTAATGAGAGGGCATGATCCTCTTGTGGCAAAGTCACGTGCAAGTCCCAGCACATTAGGCTTTTATTTTATAGGATGGTGTTTGGCCAAGACTTGCCACAGGTGAGTCTTTAATAGACACTTCAAAGAAGACTAAACTGGAAACTGAGGGGGAAGTGTTTTCTAGGCAGAAGGATCAGCCTGTATAAGGGCCCTGAGGAATATGATTGCTTCAGAAAATCAAGACACAACATGAGCCAGTGTGTCAAGGGGAATGAGCAAGTCAGAGCAGGAGGAGAGATGGTATCAGAGAATATTAAGAAACAAGGTGGCTGTGTGTTGCTGTTGAAATTTCAAATCACGGAGAGTGCCTTGTGCACACTATGTAAATCTTGCACTAAGTAATCTGGTTGCAAAAGCATTCTGTGAATTGCAAAGGATCACCTCCTTAGTACCTTATTTTAATATTAAAGTCACCTTGGAATATATCAGTCCAGGAAACCCTGCTCTGAGGACTGCTCTCAGTTTACATGGCAAACACACACACACACACACACACACACACACACACACACACACCATGGCCTCCTCATGTGTGTTATGTCCATGTCCTTCTCACTCACTCCCACACTATGTAGGCTATGAGTAGACACAAGTCAAGCTGTCCAGACCAAGGATCTTTTTCAAAAAGAACTTAGAAAAGTACCCAGATATTCCTATCATAAGCCTCCCATGGACACATAAGCTTGGGGTTTCATATTGCTATGTCCATTTTTCTGCCCTGTATTTAAAGACATATAAAAATTGTTTAAATAAACATTAGAAGCAAGAGAGCAATAAAATGTACATGAGGGAGAAAAGAGATCCAATTAGCTCAGTTGGTCCTGAGAGACAATGAGGAAGAAAAGTCTTCTTTGGATTCTGGCTGCTTTCCAATTATACCCCCTTGAGGCTAAGCAAAATGAACAGAGAAGAAATAAAATTGTCCATGAAACTAACGTAGTTGTAAGTATATGGTGTGAAACACCTTACAGTTTGACTATCCCAAGTGAAAACTGACCAAAAAATAAACCAATAACTCACAAAAGTAAATATACAAAAACAAAACAGGTTGAGTATTTTTAACATCAGGCAGTAGAAGACCGTTGTTGTTTTTTCCTGTGCCTCTTCCACATATTTTTGACCAGTTGGTTTTTATGTGGTGGATGGCAGATGGGACAAGCCCCTTTCTCACTTTTCTTATGTAGCATCTTTGTTTTTCTTCAACTTTAAGTTTTGATCTCCTTTTGACAAGTCAATGGGCTCAGTCTAATTCTGGTTCTGGTCTTCATCCAATGTGCAAAGGCCTCCAGGACATGATCAATAAATCCTGCACATGCCACGACAGTCCATCCTTCTACACTGAGTGACTTTCTTCATATGATTTAAGCCTGAGCACATTGTCATGCAAACCTTTATTTCATTGTACTCTGTCTTCACCATCACGTTGCCAGATCCAAACAAACAGGGCTTCACCTGTTTTGTTCACCTTTGTGCTTTCACAAAAGTGACTATATGTGCACTTATGTAGGAACACATTTCCACAAATGTGAAATTATGAAATGAAAGGAATGACAGGGAGAATGAAACCTGGTCAAACAGAAGTGATTTCCAAGCAACTGGATTCAATAAAAAACAAGTAGAAGGCCCCCTCTGCAGGATGGGCCGCCATGGCTGCAGTTGGGGTGGTGGTGGCAGAGGCAGCAGGCCCAAACAAGATGCTCCAATTCACTTACTTGCAGCTGTCTTCAAAGGAAAAATTACTAGCACTGTGCTCTTGGCACAAAGTCAAACATTGATTTTTTAAAACTAGTTTATTTTAAAAACTATGGAGTGTGTTGCAAGTTTGCATGTCCTCCTTGCACGGGGGCCATGCCAATCCTCTCTGTATCGTTCCATTTGCAGTATATGTATTACCAAAGTGAGCACTCTTGATTTTTTTTAATCTTGAAATTTCTTCATTTTCTTTCCTTAGGTTCTTAAGTCATTGCCTGAATCAGAACCTGGCTTTTATTTATTTTTAATATTAAATATGCAGACATGCTTTAAGCACCTTTCTGGCTGAGTAGTTCTATAGTGGGGGAAAAATGAAAATCTTTCCATTGAGGTTAAGTCCCTATTTAAAAAATATTGCATTTGATATTCACTTTTTTTGTTTAATATCCTCATTTCCTCCCTTTTGCCTTTGTCTTCTATAATGAGTATAGAAAATTTGTGGAATGAAACAGAAAAGTACCTCAAAACACACTTTTCTTCCTGGTTTTTGGATCTAATTTCTAAAGAGTGCTATTTTAAATATTTATATACATTCTTTGAACACCAGGTAGCCAAACCAATAAGGAAAGTTAATTCTCTGTTTATGGCTTTTGCATCTTTAGTGTTACTCCCACAGTCTCCTCTGATTCCAAGGATCTAGACCTTTATGTAGACATGTCATTATCCCATGGCCAACCCTATGAATTTAAAGATGTAAATTACAGCTTATTTGTTGGCCTTGTCCTAAATAAATTTACAGGATAGGGCAGCAGTTCTGAATTCTAGACTTGAGACCACTGAAGCAAACATTTGATGAGGCATACTATGATCAAACACTGGAAAATTCAGGGAGTTGTCTTTTGTTTCTTCATTCAAGTGAATATAGTCATAAGAAAGTATCTGTCTCATAAGAAAACCAGTGTTAAGAAAATAATCACCATCACTCTTAACTGAAGGGGGAAAAAGGATTTTTTAAAAATCTATATTATGATACAGTACAGTTCTTGTTTGGAGGTTCTAGCAGGGGAGCGCAGCTACTCGTATACCCTTGACCGAAGACCGGTCCTCTCCTCGGGGGGGAAGGTCGTCCTCTTCGACCGAGCGCGCAGCTTCGGGAGGGACGCACATGGATCGGTGAGGGAGGAGGGGGACACCCGCCTAGCCAGCCAGATCAGCCGAATCAACCCTGGCGATCAATGGGGTGACAGATGTCGCAGCCAGATCGCCCTCACATCCGATACAGTACAGTTCTTAATGAAATGTATTGTGAAACAATCTGGAAACTTCACGTGTTTTTCCCTATATAAGAATACCTTTCCTGACTTGGGAGTGGTGGTCTTCAGGAAAATAATTGCCCAGAACATAATGACTCCTCATCAGTGTCATGTAACACATGAATAATGAAATGCATTAACAATATTCACAATGTTATTGCTTCTGAATATAAGAACTATAGGATTAAGCCTTAAATATATATGTACATCAGGTTTAACATGCTTGAGATTCAGACTCAGGGTTGAAAATTTGATCGGGATCCTTTGCTAAGATAAAAGTAGCAGTTCCTGGCTTGTTTTCTCCCACATATAGTACAACACTTCTTTAAGACTTATCCTTAAATGCTCCCTGCTTATGGACAAAGAGCTATGGAGGAGTTTGAGTTACCAGCTGTTATCTGTACTTAAGTCTTTTAAAGAAAACAGTGCACACATCTTAGCATTATACAGATATCAAATTGAGGCTGTTTCTCATTACTTAATTTATTGTCTTTGAAGGTTTGTATCCTTGCTAGAGTTAACATTTACTTGAGGAAAATTCCCAAAGACTCTCTTGAGTTGATACTGCTTCCCCCCCATTTTTATATTCTTTTCTCATAGTTTTATCATTCAAATATATACTCTTTCTTAGACTTAATGAAAGGCTGCTTGCAGCTTTCTCAAATTAAGTCAGTAAGTTCATACCGAGTTAGATTTTTTTTATTTGAATGAAATATATAAGATGAACAGTTCAACGGCATGTGGCTTCATGGCCACATATATTTGTGATGTGGTTCTTATTTTTAGCAAGCAGGGAGGGTGCCACATAAAACCTGGTGTAGTTCAGAGAAACCTTTGCACATCAGTTACATACACTTTTCCAGTCAGTCTACCATTTACATGAACTATTCTGTATTAATGACTGAGCATGGGCATTACCACATGTTGGGAGCCATTATAAATCACATATACATCTCCAGTTTACAGCATAATAGGTTTATGGCTCCTCCAAGCCAACTCCCAGTTTGGCCTGGAGTTAAAAGATAACATACCCTCACCCTAAGCACACAGCTGCTACATCTCCACTGATAAGCGCATAGCTGCGACATTCCAGAGCCTGTTACATCCTTAATGATAGGCTACCGTCCATGGACCCCCTTGCCCACCCCTCTCCTCTAGAACAACATAAATACTACCCGCTGTAAAAATAAAATTGAGGCTTGATCAGAACTTTGTCTTGCCTCCATTTCTTCGCATCTCCTATCCTCTCATTCCTTTGCAGGATTTGGTGCGGAGTACCCACGATGCATGCCCTGCAGGTCGGGGCAACCACAGTTGTACCATCTTTTTTAAACTATATTTTTAGGACCACATTTTCATCGCAGTGAGATGCTCCCTGTAATTTAATGGTCCTTAGTGTACTAACTGAAGGCAAAATACTCTGAAGAGATGCTCGAGAAGTTTGAATTTTCTACTTCTTGAATATTTTTCTGTTTTGATGTTTGCTGAATGGGTATGTATATTTTGTTTAATTTTGCTTTCACTGGAAGTTCTGCATTTTTGAGAAGATCAAGCAGAAATAGAAATCCATTGCAGATGTATATATATATTTACCCCATCTTGCAGATTTTGGTTAGTGAAACACGGATAGGAGTGGGGTTTTATCGTAAGAAGAAGAAGAATGAAATAAAACTAAAGTTAGAGAACCCTTTCTGTTTGAGCTACTGTTTAGAAGAGCCAGCTTTTATAACATTGCTGATCCACATGATGAACATTTTGATGCTGTTCCTGACTAAATGGGGAGTATTTAATGAAAAAGGGTTTACCATAGGTAACATTTAAGAGTTTTATCAGCTATGCACCATTAAAAAATAAACTTACTTGAAACTCTTAAAAAAATAATAGAAACAAGGTGCAAAATGGCAATAATTTAGTGATACCAACATGGATTAGTAATTAAATTGGCAAAGGCATAGACATAAGATAATCTTTAATGTTCCTAGAAATTGTGGCAAACAGCAGATGCTGTTATTATTTGTTGGATGAATCAGGAGTTAGGTCTGTATTTATTAGTATATCAGTACATTGAACACATGGGAAGGTTGCATTTCAATATATTTGGAAACATTGAATTGCTAAAAAAAAAAAGCTGGAAAAATAAATATAGACTTGGAAGAAAATGAAAATGATCTACTACCTTAGTCAACATACAAAAACTCAGAGAAATTACCTACTCACTCTAAGTGTAACCAATCCTTTTAGGTGAATATATAAAAAAATGACATATTAATATTTATGGATATGCCAAATCATCCTAATTATGCCAGGAGACTCAGAAGTAATAAGATGGACATATTTAACTAAATAAAATGTAAAATATTTTTATGGCTAAACCATCACCCAAAGTCAATTGAGAAATAATAATTTATATTAATTTTTATGTTATTTTAAAACTTTTGTTGAATTTATTGGAGTGACATTGATAAACAAAATTAAATAGGTTTCAGGTGCACAATTCCATAAAACATCTTATGTATATTGCATTCTGTGTTCAGCACCCCATGTCAACTCTCCTTCCATGACCATTTATGCCCCTTTTCCCTCTTTTACCTCCCCTACCATAATCATTAAATGATTTAAAAAGCTGATAATGAAAAAATAATAGGCATAGAAAAATTAAATTCTAAGTAACAAGACCTTCAAACATATTAATCTTTGATCAAACTCAGAAAAAGTTCAGAAAACAAAAAAATTCTTTCACGTCTGTCAGCCTGGGGAAAGTTTAAAAAGGTGTCACATTGACCAGGGTTGGAACTTATAAACAGGTAGCTAAGGGGTACTCTATTTTCATTTCTGGCAGAACTGTAAAGTGTTACAACATGGGGAAACCAATCTGAAGACAGCTATAAACATTACAAGTACATATATTCTTTCAGTCATCTCTCTCAATCTCTGCATTATTGACATTCTGGGCCAGATCGTTGCCTGTGGTGTGGTCTCTCCTGTGCATTGCAGGATGTTTAGGGCATCTCTGGGCTCTACCTACACCTCCCATGTGACAGGGAAAAACGTCTCTGGACATTGTTCAATGTGCCCTGGGGTAACAATACTGCCTCTAGTGGAGAACCAGAATTTTAATGTAACAATCTCAAAACATTTTTGTATAATTGTTATATAGCAATATAAAGGGTATCCCAAAATTCACGCAACAAGTAATTTTGATAGAAAACACAGGTTTATAATTAAAAGTTGTAAATTTTTTTATTTATTCATAAAGTATACAGTATAGGGTTATGTATGGAATAGCATATCGGGTAAATGGCCTCCACGGCTTTGCTGGCACATACACACTCTTTTGTTGAAATTTTCCATGACAGTTTTGCATAAATGTGGCTGAATTTCATTGATACAGCACTCAATTTCCTCCTTCAAGGCGTGGGTGGTCCTGGGCTTGTTGGCATAAACCTTAGATTTCAAAAAACCCCAAAGAAAAAAGTCCAACGGCATTAAATTGTATGATCTGGGCAGCCAATTCTGATGACCAAAACGGGAAATTACACAACCAGGAAATGACTCATGCAGTAATTGAATTGTTTCTTGGACTATATGGCATGTGGCACCGTCTTGTTGAAACCACATGTCGTCCACATCCATATCTTGCAATTTAGGCACAAAAAACTGGATTAACTGGATTATCATGTTGCGATAGCGAGCAGAATTAAATTCAAATCTTGCGTGAATTATGGGACACCCTTATTAAGAATGTATATGGAAATCTTTCAATGTGTGAATAGCATAGCCACATCCTAAAATATTATGTGCACATGGTGATAAATACTTGGCATCACACTAGTTGTTTGGGGGGGGGGGGAAGATCATGAGGTATTTTTGAGTAATAAGGAAGAGTGTACACAGAAAAAA